TCACAATATACCACAATATAGAGAATGTTAGGAATTAGTAAAGAGCAAAGGATAAATGTAGAATATAGGTTGACTTACCAAGTAGTTATGTACAAATACTATTACATTTAGACGCAGACCTCTTCGAGCAGATACCCCCCTCGGGATACAGTGGCTTAGTGGAGGGACTGTTTCCAGAATAGTAGGCGGAATACCTAAATTTCTTAACTTCAAGGTAACCAACCTAGAAGCAGTAGGTCCTAAAGCTATCGAGTCGTATCGTAAAAGAAACAGCTATAACGAGCTCCAGATTTTACGCGAGAAAGGGCAACAACTCCCCATAATGCCATTGAGAGAATATGCAAATAAGGAAGAACTAACAAGATCAGTTCACGCACTAGTTTTTGACGGTGACATTGCACCAGTACTGTACCGAGTTAGAACGCTATTTGGCAACGGCGCGAAATTAGAGTCAGTGCATTTTGAAGTACCACTTCCAGATAGGTTGGATCTCATGATTGTGACCCTTGACCCATATGCTATTAATATTACATCCGGAAAAAGAGGTATTGATATCTCTAAGTTGATTGTAGGTGATTTGATATGAGTATATTCTTTAGCAGTAACGGTCAAATACGCTGACGGAGGAGTAAAAGCTCCGCAAACAGTAGAGCAGGTTTATCAATTGCGTTAACCAACATTCTGGCGCGTGGCACGTTTTGCACTCATTCAGAATTATCACCAACTTTGGGATTCGTTGTGAGCATCGAAAATAAAACCGCCATACGTATTTGCATGCAAGGTCATCGCCAATTAGTAACAATCACCCTAAATCGAATGGAAGCCCCTAGCGAATTTCGCAATCTACAAGCTAACTCCTTTATAGTAGCTCCATTTCGCGCTCGGCAACTAGATTATATGATATTTGCATGTCAACCGCGTAATTCTGCCGAATTGTGTAGTATAAAATCCCCTATTTTGCAAGCCCAGCGCCAGTACCTTTTAACATCCGCAAGAATAGCAAAGACCATCAAGAGCTTGTTGAGAGTAAGCTCACTCAATTTGAGTTGTTTAGTAAGAGCCCTGGAGAAGTTTTGAATTTCCTAGAACCGCTCTATAGCACTGCATGTGGAGCAATTTTAGCAGCCATAAAAGATGCAACGGATACGACTTCCCACCCGACAACGTGGACATCACCGGATCTAAATGCGTTTCCCGTCTTAGCCGTATTCCGTCTCCCCATAAGTAAAAAATCCGGCTGGGCCGTGGGACACGCAATCAGAGGAGCTTATATGGCCGATTTCATGGATGGCCAGATTACGCAAATCGAGATGGGTGAGGAGAATTTCCAGGTTACCGCTCAATTGCAGACAAGCTCGGCGGTTCA